GACACCCCAACGTATGTGGTGTACAATTGCTTTACTCAGATTGGTTGGTTTTTGATTTCAATTCGCAATGAGATATATTAAGAACAGATCAACAAGACGGGATGATTCCAAAGACGTAAGCTAAGGACACCACTATACACTACATTTTTTCCGCTTTGTTTTATCAAAGAAGACGATACTACAACTGGCTTCCGGGAAGTCGAAGTAACCAATCAAACAATGCCCGGAGATGTGAACAGAGGAACCAGTCGGAGTGCGGTGGGAGGATCTAAACTCTCGGGTGTTGATTGCTAACTCTTTAACACCACCGACAATGTTCCCGTAAAGTGCTGCAATAAAGCTATTTGAATGACGAAAAACTGAAAACTTCTTCAATATTGGATAAATGTTGGCCTTGCAAGATCCGCTGGCACCTGCATAACATGTCATTTATGGGAGGTTGTGGTCAATTGATTAAAGTAATCGAAATACTGACATGGAGTTCCAGAGTTTGAATATCACCCCTGCCGCTTATCCTCCATCATTTCCACATTTCCCTAGGCCACCTTTATAGTTTCGCGGCCTAGTTCAGATATTACATTTGTATATGCAATGAACACAACTGTTATTGAAAGAGTTTATTTACATATTTTCTATTAATTTATTTTTGTAATGCTTTGGTAAATTATGTGCTCCACTAATTTGTTCGACCATACACTGGGTGGTTATTGAGACAATTGGCATTATTGAGTCAATTTAGTCCGTTTAGGTAGCAATAGTGAGCGTTATAAGCCGAATGGTGCAATTGGATGGAGTGAGGTTAGAATCAGATTTGAGAAGTTTAGTGAAAACGCGTGAATCTTGCATTCATTTAAATCTGAGTTAGAGTTTCCACAACCGAGGCTGATGCAGGTTGCAGATAGGTGTGCAGAAGTATATTGCGGCTAAGATGTTTTCATAGATTTTTGCGGGCGAAGTTCCTATCACGTTATGAATGAATTTAAAACCGTTTTTAAAATATTTTTGACTATTACATAGGGCAATTGTAGGCTCCTTAGTTATTGAGATTGAATATTCTATTCGCAGTTAAATGACTGAGTCCTTAGGTTTGCGATTGCATTGATCTATTCAGTTTCACAGATCAGAGGCAACGCGTCTGGTCTTCTTGCTTTAAATATCGGTTTGCTTCTTAAATATAATGAAGTTACCATGGCGTATTATTTAGTTTGTATCATTTGCGGTGACTTCAATAATTCCGATACCCATTTCTTAATCACCTTATGTCTTCAAAACATTGGTACCTTTCCCACTAGGTTTGATGTACATCTGGATTTGGGTTTTATCAACCTTCCCAATTTACTTCTTGTAGAAAGAGGACTCCACTGAGAATGTCTGATCATTTCATGTCAAAGTTTTCACCTACCACCCTGAGCAGAACGAACCATCGTCTCTTTACTCGAAGTCGTGATTATATGCTTCAAGTAAGACAGCGTTCTCCAGAAAACCTCACTAGGTTAAGCGGAATGATCAGTCATTCCGACCTTACTTTCTTTTATGATCCCAACCCTTCCGTTTCATGTAATTAATTAAAAAGTTACTTAAAATTTTGCCACGATGTTTGTTGTGCGTCAGAGATAATTTATATTCACACCGATCGATTGTCTCCCCCATACCCAAAATAACTCCATCATAGACAGGAGCGTGCCTTCAAAATGCATAACTGCGACTGGGTGTGTTCTCTTTCTAAATCCATCCGGGCTGAACTTTGAAGGCTAAACTTTTCATATGCCCTTGCTCGGCTTGACAACAAAGGTAATCGTGAGACCTGTTATCAAATCCTCACACGACGCACCTGCTGCGGTGAACATGGATGGCCTGAATCAGAGTTTCATCAACAGTGGAACCGCTCTCGCTGCTCTACCTGATGGATATGAAATAAACATGACTGATCCCTTCGCCAAAGTTGCACCTGTCGATATTTATCAAGAGTTGGCTCGGTTAAATCAATAAAAGTCTTAAAGGAGTCTCACCCGCTGTCCTGAGAGAATGTGTTGCCTTCCTTTCCCCTGTACTGTGTGAAATTTTCCATAACTGTATTTCGCTACAAGGTATACCCGACTGCTGGAGAAAAGCAGCTATCAACCTTGTACCGAAGAAAGGATCCTCAAAATTCCATTCCACCTCAGTTGTTTTGAAGGTTTTTGGGAGGCTCCTAAATAGGACACTGTCCACACAGTTCGCTGAAGGTGACCCAAACCAGTTTGCATGCAACCTGGATGCCCTTGCATAGCTGTCCCACTTTGTTTTATCCTATCTGGATAAAAAAGCAAGGTTGTGTGTATATAATGCTTTCAACACAATTGATCAACATATGTTGCTAAATACCCTCTCATCAGGAGGAGTTCAACCTTGTACGACTGAATCCTTGGCCAACTATTTCTTCAATCGTCAGCAGTTCATACGCTACAAAGTTAGGACATCTTATTGTTGTCCTTCTCACAAGGCGTACGGCAAGACACAATTTTATTCCTTTTTCTGTGTTCTGCTTTCATTTCTTCTATGTCTGTAAACAATCCTTTTCTTGTTAAGTATGCAGACGATATAATATTCGGACTGTCCTACCCCAACTCATCATTCTAAATCACTCTACAAGAAGACGTGTCAAAAATAGTTGAGTGGTCCCAACAAGGGAACCCACGCATGAACCCCCAAAAATGTAATAACGCAATGTTTCTTGCCTTTGAAAAAGCAAAAGTATGATCAGTTATCAAATGCTAGCCCACCTTTATCTATCCTCAGTGATCAGGTAAAAAGAAAGTGTCTGTTGTTTTCAGCCTTAACCTCATCTGGTGCGACCACATTAATGACGTTTTTCTGAATATCAGCAGACTCACGTTTAATGCTTTACGTCTTAAAGTACTTTCTATCTCAAAGCATCTCATAAGGCGTTGTTTTTGCTTTATGAGTCCCCCTTTAGGTTCCACGGTCATTTTAACAAGAAACTCAAACTCATTTCCCGATTCCTCAAGTTTCTGTCGGTTTAATTGCCGAATTATAATGTTTTTTCACCATCTGTTGACGCACTGTGATTATGTTGTTGTTGAATAATCACCTTTCGAGGTGTATAAAGCGGTTCCCTAACTTGGCTTGACTTCAAAAGATTGTCGATATTCTGTTGGAGAACTTCAATGGAGCTGACCCCAGAATAGTATCATTCATCATAGGAAAACATGGACGTGACATTGCACGCACTACTTAAGATTCTTCGAATTGTAGCAGAAAAATGTCTAATTCGCTGTTTAACCAAAACGGCTGGAATATTTTGTTCTCCAAACTAAATCGCTTTTGAACTGGGGTGCATAATGTTTTTTTTTCTAGATAATGGATACTTTGATTGATTCCTTGCCAAGAGTACGTTGTGATACCCACCCAAAGCACTTGCGACATATTAAATTAGAAACCTGTTTATTATTTCATTCTATGAGGGTAGAAATGATTGGAAAAATATTGAATAGACAAATATAATCGCCTCAAAAATTTACGTAATTTGCCACCAATCCCCACATTGTACTCATCTCCAAACCTTTTCTCTTCATGCTGACCAAAAAAAATTGCCACGGATGTGATCTCATACGGTGTTCATGAATTAACCAGCTTCCTTGGAGTCTTGTGAATTGAACCATGAGGCGTCGACCTGATCGCATCAAAGAGCATCATCTTATTTGGGTGAATCCGGGGTTGACGAGGACCGAGATGAAGATAATTACGAACCTTTTGATCAAGTCTATGTACACAGTCAATGTGCTTGAAGCCTTTTATCAACAGACGAGTTGATTACAGTTAGTCTCCGCACACCGTTTTGTGCACCCAGAATCATTCTGTAAGAACACCGATCTTACCAAGGTAATTCACTTACAATCTCGTAACGAACGTAACCTCCGTTCATAAATTTACTTATTCAACCACTTACCCTTTTACAATCACACTCCCTCCTCCATTTTCTACATATACGAAAACACTGAAGAATTTTCGAAATCACATCTTTTTCTAAACTCTGATTTGTTTCTCAGGTATGTCTCCTCTCAGCACCTATTTCATGTATCATAAATTGCGTGTTACTGTAGCATAAAAATGAGCATGTTTCATTTTTGTCTACTCATTACCACTTAATCCGAAATATGTTCACACCTTCCTTGAATTTTTCTTTTATTATTTCTTGCTTTCGCCTACTACATCACGGGCATTGCTACAACCCCCATAGCATACGTAGAAGACCAAATATTGGCTACTATGATTCAGTAACGCTCCGACAAACAAGTTTTAGAAAGTATAGATTAAAGAAAGAAAAATCGAGATGTTTACGTCCTGAATGGCTAGGTGGCTTTTGAATCAATGCGGAGGCCTCACTGGTTCACAGGCTTCCCACTATTTGAATGAAGAGCCGCTAATTCAGGTCAGGCATTCAGCTAGAATCTTAGCATCCATCTCAGCATCTGTCAAACGGATATCTGGAAAACAACGCACTGAGTCTTAGTGAATTCACTCTAAATCCACAGATGTCAGTACCTGGACATGGGCACAGTTGGTGTCATATAGAGGAGCTGACAACAAAGTAGTGAAATTCAAGAACTGATCTAGCCCCATTTTCATAGTTGCATTATCCGATTTCCTCCTTTAAACTAGGGTTTCAAATCACCGGGGAAATCAATGTGAGCCATCCGAATATTTCGTGTCAACTGACAAAATGGTCTATACGGAACCCACGAATATGGCAAAAATCCACGTATTGTTTTTCTGCGACCCTGATCTAGTGGCCATAATTGACCACAGTACATTGAGTGATAGTTGAACGTACCATAAATTGATCAATAAAACATTTTTTCGTGACAGTATAATGCGATCAACTGTTTGAACAATAATAAATTTGTCCGTATATGTTGATGGGGTAACAGTGATGAACAGGGATTGGAAAGTAGGGCAAGAGCAAGGGGTGAGATTGGGACAACGAACAGCGTGTCCGATCAGCGACCGTGAGGACGCGAGAATCGTCGACGCTCGAGTCGCCGTATTGGTTGGAATTGTTCCTCCTCGTTCGATCGCGCCTTCCAAGTGTGAATCAAACGATCCACTGCATCTGAAAGAAACAAACAGATACATGATGCACATTAATAACTGTTTTGAACCAATAAGCAAGCGTGATTTGTAAACCAGATTTTTAAAGGCAAAAACCATGCTGTACACGCGATTTATCCTACCAGCACATGGAACTTCAAATGGAGGACTGGAGGTTTCTGGGTCAGGAAAAATTGTTTTTGTGATGATCAGACAAGAAACAAATTATTGCATCCGGTACGACAGTACTGAAGACGAACGTGCCTATTTAGTAAGATAGATGCCTAACTTAAAGTGCAGAGAAAGCACGAAAAAGGCCGGAGACTATAATAATTTACTCATCAACGTTCCCGTAGTTCTCAGTAGACTTTAAATGGCGGGCAGTAATCAGAGGCGCGGATAGACATGGTATCGAGATATTGCTGAGCTCATTGAGATGGGATCGCATCGATTTGTGTATTTGTGTTTGCAAAGAGCACGGTTCGTCTGATAAGACATTTTCATGGTAATTCTAGTAGCATCAAGGCAACACATTGCATCACTGAAGCGTGTCTGTTTGCCCATGTGTGGACTGTGAAGATAAATGGTTCAAACACCGGGACTAGCAAACATTTGAAGTTACAAGCCGTAACTTGGACAGAAACCTAGGTCGAAAGAAACAAAAGAAGCAAGTAGTTCGAGGTTAGTTCAACGTTAGTTCAATGTCTGATTGCTTCTTTGAAGTTACGGAACACAGCGATGATAAGTAGAAGAGAAAGATCAAAACTGACAGTAATATGAACAACTAAAAATTCCTTTCCTGAAATCTGCATGCTGATAAAACGCTCGATAAGTGCTGCCTCAAACAAGAGCAAACGTTCTCAACCCAAGCTCAATTTCGACAAATTCAATTACATATCTGATTTTACCGAAGATACAAATAAACGTAATATCGGAAGAGAGAAGCATGATAAGCTCACTTCACATCGGCATCTGTGGTAGGAAATCCAGCACGAAGTGTGCATTCAATGTATTCACTTATCTCGCATGGAGATCGATGGGTGAAGTATGAAGCAACGAAGAGTGATTCGTGCAGATCGTATTACGCATTCTGATTCACATCAGTGAAACTTGCCAAGTTGTAAAGGATGTGCTTCAGCCTTCACAATTCTTTCGTCATTCACGCTTAATAATACAATATCTTCTCATCCTTCCCTTTTATTTATACTTATTCTTAATAATAGTTGATATATTTTCTTATAACCGCAAGTGTTTTTACCAACCGTACGATTTCATGTCTTACTCAAATTGACAAATTCAACGCAGCAGTTGGATATGTTGCTACTGAATTAATGTTTCAAGCGGGAACAGGTGATAACACTGTGTAATTAGAACTTGGCTCAATTCACGCAAACATTATGACTGTATTACAAATACATCTGTTGTTAAGAAGATGCCCATCGTGGATTTTAGAAAAAGAATCATCGGGCAAAGCAATTGAATTTTTGTAATTCATTCTCAAGTCGTTTACGGATTACATAAACAGCACGAGATCACATATCACAAATTTAGACACATCACTCATCAAGGTTAAGAGTTTGCCTTGATCGACTTGCACTTTCATTTGATCGGGTCAACTAGCCTACGGTCTCAGAGTGACACGATGAAGAAAACTACGGGAACACCAGGTGGTGCAGGCACTAAATCGATCCCTTGATTTCCCCACAGGACGCGCTGCAGTGCAACGATTCTTCAGTTTTTATTTCATCACACTAATCAAAACCGGCAGCCGAAACTTTATTGGAAATCTCTTGGTCGAAAAAGGGGTTAATCTAATAGTAAATCATTGTATTATGTTTGGAACCAATATGACGGCTTTCTGCAGTTCTGAGCGACAGTTGCAGTCTTTATGTTGCAGTCCTCACGAGCATGACTTAACGCAACACACCGAGAGCCAAATAACCGCCACCCTGAAATAACCAAGAGATATTGGCTTTCTTGTGAATCATGTTAATGAACAAATAATACCAACCAGGTTTAAACATTCCAGGGTTTACAGGCTTTTCAAAATTCACAAATCGGGAACTCCGGTTAGTCTGGTACAATCGATGACATACTCGCCTTATCGCAGTGTTGCAGGTTGGCTATGCGAACTATTAGAACCAGTAAAACAACATATGGCCATTCCCAGTGATTTTATATATCGGATAAAGAATGCTAATCTTAAGGACATAATAAGGTTTTCGCTAGACGTCGTCTTTGTTCACAAGCGTACCACTGATAGAAACTATCAGTTTCTTGGTGAATTGCACAAAGGAAAGTAACCGGAATACTGGTTGACCACCCCACAGTTTGCACGATCTCCTGCTTCATTGCACGCTCAATCTACATATCCCTTTTAATCAGATCTTTATCAGATATCTAGACAATGTGGCAGTAGAATCAACGCTGGATCCATTACTCGCTGAAGTTTCGCTCATAAAACTGGAAAGAGCGTAGATGAAATTCAAATGCTGTGGAAATATTTGTGATAACCAACAAAACAGCAGTGGACAGCTGTCTCGTCCTGTTTGGGATACCCAAGATTATCAAGAGTGTCTGGTACCTCTGAATAACGGAATGGCCTAGTCCAAGCTTGAATCTCTAAACTTAGATGAAGTCTGCAATCGACAGATTTATAAATTGCTATCCATATGTGCACGATAAATTTTTGCGTGGCTGATTTTAGCTGTGACTTAACACTGGTGGTATTGGAATCCAATAAGGCACACAGAGCAGCACTTTTTACAATTGAATGTGAAACGAACGATCGATTATCGTTTCTTCATATGTCGCCTAGCAACATGAAAAACGGCTGCACCGAACGAAAGGTGTATCGTAAACCGCGAATTTGCCGCCAATTTCAATTATATCGTTGGCATCGAACGGAAATGTAACTTAGAAAACTGCTAGATCACCGGGGCGAAGGCAATCAGCTCTGAAGAGTTGTTGGATGATGAGGTGATGCTCATTAGAAACACGTTACGTAAAAACGGATACCCGGATTGTTTCATCCACAGAAATCTGATTAAATCAATTCTGAAAAATGCCACGGAAACTGTTCAAAAGAAATAGTTGATCATCAGTTAGCTATTTAAAGGCGATACCGGGAGTGAGATCCATTTGAATTTCTGAAAATAGCCACACCTTCAGGCCGAATCGAAGTGCATTACCCACTCTGGTGGGAACAAGGACAGACCGAATCAGTGAACAGCTTCATCGCAGACCCGTTTAGTCGACACCGCACATCAAATAAATCCTGACCGCGCTTGCGCAGTTGTCTGTTTCGCATTTGATACCAAATGTAAGGCAAATCAATCGTACACTCTAGCAATAGCCGAAGCAATCAGAATGAGAACGTTGGCCCCCGACCTCAACACTCAAAATCTCTTGGTTGAGTCACTCCAACTTCCATGACCCTTAATCGGTCACGCTTGATTGTTTCCACCATCGAGTCCCCCTGACACTGTAGGCTTTTTGAACCAATCAAATTAGAAAAGCAAGTTAACCATGATAACCTTCTACCCGCGATTGCAATTGTGTCTAACTGTGTGATCTGTTTTCTCGTGTTACCCTTTTATTCTGTAAACATCTTGAGAATCAATTACTGAAAAAACGATTGTTTTGCCCAATTACGTTTCTTTTCAGTAGATTTGTCTTTCAAGTAGTCCGTATAATACGCACCTACCAACTACTTATTAAAAATGAGAGTTCAGAATAGGCCCACAATTAGAACAGCGTTCAATTACCATTTATTTCCAATCAGTCGTTTGATATCCTGTATGAATCCGATGACAGAAACTGGGTGCTTTGCCTTTGTTTATCAACTGAGGGATTGAAACGGATGTAAAGTGCTCCACGTACATTTCTCAACTGTTGAAAATGAGTCTGACATCTAAGACATTTTCTATCGTGATTGACCGTCCTTGTACATTCAAAATCAATAATTCTGATCAGCTTCGATGCGAGCTAGTTCGTGCATGGGTCAAACACGACTCTCATGCAATTTTTCCGGAGTTCTACCCCTGGGATGAGATGCATATGTGATCTGTTGATGAGCTTTTGTGAGATAGAAATTCGCGTCTTACAATAGACACGTACATGATTGTTTAGACGAGATGAGGGACGCACTTGCAGATGGAGTTTAATAAGTGGTCAGTCAGAATGGACAAGAAGTATGTTCTCAAGAGAAATCAGAATTCTAACTTGCACATTAAAACATTGATCATGTTGTAGACGGTTTACAAATAGTTTTCCATACCTATGAGGAGTTACCTTTGCAGGGCTTTACGTTTTTACAACAAAAAGCTTCATCCGAATCACTGGTCTTCGAAGAAGCTAACGCCGGAAATATGATCCAAAATGTTTGACCTACATTTTGCCCTGACAACCAGTATTTGTTTGCCCGAAATAACAAATCACGCATCAGTTGACCTCTACTGGACACTGACCAATAATCGGATACAGTTCATTTCCGCAAGTGCTATGGCTTCATCTCACCCGTCAAATATTCCACTAAAATTTGCATTTTAAAATAAATGTGAGCTAACTGAAGGTGGCAGATGATTCTCTCCTGCTTTTTCACAAATTTTTGGTGATATACGTTAAAAGTGAACTGTTTTCCACTGTGCTAATTTTGCAAAGAGAATGGGAATTCATTTCCTTATTTGATAAATAAATTGTTGAAACAAAGTACACGGTAAATTCTGGTGTGTATTACTTTATCTCATTGAATTCAAATCCGATTTTGAAAAACGTTGATTTTTAAGTTTCGTTTGAACAATCAAAACTTTGATTCATTTGTTGTATGAGTAAACAAAGAAGTAATGGTTGATACTTCGCGCTGTTTCTTTTTGCAACCATTTGTCTTGGCGTTTTCATTTAGAAACGAATAAACGATGGCGTTATTCCTGTTGTGAATTACCGGTAATTGGCTACGAGCAACAAGTAGCTAGTCAGGCAAAATTAAAGCGGTCTGAGAAGTGCAGCGTTGTCCACCATTGTAAGTAGTATGTTAATTAATAATGATGGTTATTACAATTTCAGATGAATAAGCACAAGATACTCATTCAAATGCTTTTGTTGTTGCCATTCTTCTTACGAATCGTTATCATAAATCCGATTATCATTTTGAATCTCAAACGCAGAATAATGTTATCTCATTAGAGGTCATGCAATTTTGAAAATTGCCTAAGACATATAGGTAAACAAAATGCCTAAATAATGGAACAAATGCACTGTTTAACATACAAATAAAGCAATGACTGCTTATTTTAAGGATTTGAAAAAAAACATGTTCTCAAACCAGTGGCAAACGTGATTTGAGCAACTGATTTGAACCACACAAACACACAGGGAATTGTTGAACTCTCCTTCCCAAGAAGAACCAAACTGACAATGAATGTTAGAGTCAATTCAACTCTTTCTTCATGTGATGATGAATTTTATTGTTTTAGTGACCGATGCAGTCAGAAAATGAATACGGGAGCATTGGAATGAGCAAACGGAACACAGCAACTTGAGAGTGTTTGTTTCAAAACGTTAGCCAAGTAGGCTCCCCTTTTGTTGTATAGCAAATGAGGTTGCAGCATTTTATAGCCTTGGAAGACATCCAATAATTAAGAAAAGATGAATGAAGTATTGTTTGAATCTTTTATTCATTCGCTGAGCATTTATGAGTAATCCCGTTGATTGATTTGAATTACAAGAGCCATGTGGAATGAATAGTTTTGAATTGTTTTATTATATCATGACTAAAGATTACGCTGAAATCTTTTACTTTACATTCTAAATCATTTGGAACTATTCATTGAGGGTGAAAATCTGATATAATCGCAAACGATTGAAGCTATTTTCATCTTGATTCAAAGAGAATGATGGGTAGTTTAACAAAAATATTTCACTGTTTATCTAGATTCAATTAGGAAACTTTAAATTGATTGAATCATTCGCCCACGATGTTGACCGTTGACCGTATAGCTCAGGATTACGGGTGTTAACTCCCAACCCGAAGATGACAACCTCGAGTCACGACAATACACACTACTGACAGGTCCCAAACAGAACGAAACAAATATTTTGTGCTATTTGTAGGTCACCACAGCGTGTTCCCTCAGATGCAAATGCATTTAACTGTTGGGGAATCAATTATCTTTCAGGAAGTGCAACTCACATCCGATAAATTGGTAATTGTAAACAATTGAATTGGCCATCCCGAACATGATATTCTAACTTCAAGAAGACAATTCATGTCATCAAAAATGACCCTCACACAGAATCAAACAATATTAAATGCTCTACTCGTATAAATGTAAATGGCCAGTAGATGAATTTATCGAAAAGCAGTTTGTCTCGCTTATTGGATTTTTAAGTTTGGGGTACACATCACGCATCAAACAATCTAATCAACTAAATCCATTTTCGCAATTGCAGCAACCAGGTAACAGTAGTACGACACAAATTCATCAGTTGGACAAATCAGAAAAATGTTGATTGCCGAACAAATTTGCTTGCATTTAATAAAACCAAATTTTGTTCGCAATCATAGCGCAGAACCTGTATGACACATTGTTGGCGGGGCTCCGATGGTAACATATATTCCAATCATCTCCATCCGGTCAAATATGTTGCATTTCTCCTCCACTTGCTGCTTTATGCCTTCCCGTTAAAAGGCCTAAACTTATTTGCAAAAGTTCAAACTGATTAGCAGATCCCTGAAATTCTTACCTGAGGGCACGAACTTTATCCAAACAATGATTTCGCATCACTTATGAGCATGCGTAACGATGTTTATCGCCGAACTTTGGGTGATAATAAACATGTAAAACTCCTCCGAAACTCCATCGAAGCTTATCTGGTAGGCGTACAATTCGCCAGATAAGTCTATAGCTTTTAGCCCGAGGTGATTAGGCAGTTGAACTGAGATTAAACTCTATATGTACACAAAATACTTGACACACTACACGGAACACCTTGTGTGTAACTCAAACTTGATAAAAAGTCAGTGCTGTCGATGTGGCCTCATAACTCAGCTGGTACAATGTGCACTGTACAGCGTAGGCAGCCTCCATGCGTAAGTTCAATTCCCACCGAGGCTGCAAAACGTTTTTATTTGAACCGACTGCCCTTTGAACTTCACCTTCACGCGCAATCCACAGGTCATCGATTCAACCATACATATCAATTATCCAACATCAATACTCAAAAGTAACTGAGTTAAATGCGCATCATCAACCCAACCTTGTAGGTTCGTTGGCAAATCAACCCGTAACCTGCACGGAAGTTCTGACTTGGTGGGAGGCTTTTGATGGAAGTTAACAGATTGTCATTTGTTTCTCCCTTCGTTGCTGTCGGGTCCAACGAACTTACTATCACTGGAAACTTGAACAAACATTAATTAGAAATTAGGTTCAGCTACGGTATGAGCTGGTTGGCACAGTGGTAGCGCACATGCATACCGTGCGATCGGCCCGGAATTCAAATCCCGGACGGTACAGTGGCTGTTTACTACTGATGAGCTCCAATAAGAGCGAAACTCGAGTTTAGTGCCTAAAACTGTATGGTTGAATCGATGAACTGATGATTGTGAGTGAAAGTAAAATCCGAAGGACAGTCAGTTCAAATTACTAGATATCAATTATCCCACACCGCTATTCACAAAAAACTGTGTTAAATACTAAACTTTTACCAAAATCACTTTTAACAAAGTCACTAAAAATCTGCATATGGGTGCATTTATTGTGCGCTGTGAGGGGACTGATTTACATTTATTGTCTCGTCCTACTCATTTGTACAATACAAATCATGAATCGGTGATCGTTTGGGTCCTTCAAAAGAAGTATTGCATAGAGCATCCGTTTTAAGCCCCACCGACCCTATTTTGGTACCGTTGCAGGAAGCTTCCTGGTTTCCAGTGTGCAATCTCACTTTGATTTTGTGAAATGATCATCATCATCATTTACTGAATTCTTTCAAATTGAAGCAGTAAAATTAATCCTGTTACGTGTCATATGCGTTGAAGTTGTGTTCACCGTTTCCAATGCATACTGAGCATGCTTTTCCTATTCTCTTTCCACAAGTCAAAGGATAAGTTTCAATTGCTGTTTTCCTTCCCGTAAGTCACCACCAGTCCACCAAAATCAACCAGTCAATTGAAAATCTGGGCCGTATCTTATGGAATTAAAAATCGTTCATTCAGACCTGTCAATCACAAATCGATTCGAACAACATTTTCCCGAGTTTAGGTATCTTGACAACTTTGCCGCGATATTTTGCTCAAGCACAATTTTTTCTCCGACTACATGTTATACCTTACCGTTATTTAATCAGTGACTGTTTCTTGTTCTTTCTTGATCTGTCCAGCATGGGTCATTTCATCTTAACTCTATTTCACGATTTCAAAACCAAATCAAAAACGCTAACTTTCTTCGTATTGGCTATTAAACTGATCTTGGAGCTGTCGGAGTAACACTCGCAACTTGTAACCGGGTTTGAATTCCCGGCATGATCAAACCGCTGGTTAATTTTTGTAACAAAAAAATGGTTCTGTTCTCTCACATACTACTCAATTCAGTTTGTAATAGCAAAAAATAAACTCTCACTTATTCGAGAATCTCACTTTTTGTTGTTTCCATTCTGGACAGCACACTTGAATGAGTTTGATTTTATATATTTGAAAAACAATCAATTCGACAAAATAGTGCAGTAAAGAACGTGCAAACAAGACACAATTCAAAAGCTCCGTCGGTAGAAAATCACATGATCATGTGATTTGAGCCGAAAGGGCGAGGGGGCACAGGAGGGGGGGATTAGAACTCACCTTCCTCATCGGGGCTGGCTTCAATCGGATAGGCTTCGGCCACCGGTGACAGCCAATCTGACAGTTCATATCTATGCGGTATGGACACTGAGGATGTGGCCAACGTCATCATTATGAGGACGCAAACGGATAGAAAATTCTTCATTTTGAGATGCTAGAAAAGCAGCAAGAATAATGGGTGAAATTATCTGAGCGATCACTGGCCGAAACTAAAGAGTGTGGACTTTATTAGTGAAAAAATTATTACCATCTGAGGTACCAAAATAAAATTGTGGGCGATCAGTGACAGAGTCTTTGAAAGGTGGGCGAATTTAAGTCCTGCATTACTAAGAACATGCGAGAGGAAGGAGAGATGTCTTGCTTGGAATGTTTGTTGCATCGCTATTGATGAGTGAGTTAGTCAAGTTTAAATCATTAGCCGACAATTTCAGTCAATGCAGACAGCCAAAACGAAAATAGAACGGTCGAAGGCGCACGGACTATTTCAACCTGAAGCACAATGAAAGCGGATTGAGAAAAACCAGCGACTTTTAACGCGTAACATGCCCGTATAATGTATTAGGTTTTGTTGTTTCACTCTTTGATGAAATGCTTTAGCAAATGAAAAAAACATTGAGTTACTCTTCGCTAAACAATAATTGCCGTTCTATGCAAACGATGTTCATGATTAAATGTCCCGAAACAAATCTGTTGCGGCAGACTTTCGAATCACGGTCACTTGCGAGTATTGATGAGGAATAAGTGCTCAAAATCCTATCTGCCGAGCTTTCAAACTTTGGAGTCTTGCTTAATTCTCAGCTAATCTGATGCACTATACACCTGGGTCGTACTAGGCTCGAGTTTCCCTCTTGTCAGCCGTCATCCGCAGTTTGTATTCCTACGGCTATCCAGGAGTAGAACTTTGTGCCCATTCCACGAGAGTTAGGATTTTACCACTAACCCACCCAGATCACTCGGGAGAATAAAGACGTATCTGATAGAATGTTATGGTAGTCGACTTTAGATGTGTCAGTAGGCTGATAGCACGAGAGTTTGAAAATATCTCAGTGTTATCTTCTGGTTAAGCAGGAACGCCTATGTTCAATTCAGCAGGAAAACTGAAGTCTGGTAATTCTTGAATGAATGTCTTATTGGACGAACTTGAGATCGTATGAAGTGAAGTCTGAGGCGAAAATATTTTATCCGTGGTTTTGAAAACAATTGCTATTGCAACACAATTGAGTTTTACACTTTTGTTCCAAACCAATCAGAACTTTATCTCTAGGCGAAATTTCAGCAGATGCAGTTTATAGCTTATGGTCACCAAGTAAAAACCAAAAAGTTAAATTTCCTTTCCTTAGATTGAAGTCATCATATTGAAGTTGTGAAATGTTTGAAATCCTGTAGAAATCTTTGGTGGGACAATCTGACCAAAATGGTTGAATGCCATGTTAGTCAAGCGGAGATTGCATTTTTTTATCACTTATGAAAAGTAACACAAAATGTATTTACTACGGCAATTAACGGTTGGATGAGTTAAAAATCCGAACTCTGTAATGTGAAGACTGGTTTTACACATATACATTCCGCATATGATTAATTATTTTTCGTAGCTAGCTTGAATAAAATACAAAAATAAACAGTAATTAATTTTCCACTCTGAATATTGGAGATCTCTTTGTTTTAAACAGTGAAACACAAAGACTTTCTTCGGCGAGAATATCCCCTTTGTTGCATGAGAGCACTCCCAGTCTGAGACAACTAACGTTTTAAGATGAGTTCATAGGTTCATACGGGATTTGGCGTTTTCGTCGGATTTTATACAGTCAGAGATTTTGATTTCTTTGCTGTTTATATGACTATGGGTGACAGGCTTGATGAGACCTTTACAACTCCACATTATCGTAATCAGAGATATTCGCATTATTTGGGTAAATTGTCAAAACGGTTAGTGCTGGTTGATGAAGTGGGTGTATTCGGTTGCCTCAGCAGTGATCAAGGAAAAGATTATGCAATGTAAGGGTCTACGAAGCAAATCGCTCATACCCACGGACTTTTTGAGGGTTCGAATCCCGTTCAGACACCCATGAACACCAGTAGAAACGCCCGCATCACTGAAAATGATAGTTAGTACTGTATTTTTCTGATTGGTTAAATAAGTAATGATTCATCTACATAAAAACTAATTCATTTTTGTAATGCAACGCACGCATTTGTTAAACCCTGCATACCTGGTTTGTTCTCGTTACAATTTGTTAGTAGTTCATTCGCAACGAGATTGTGATGAAGTGAATCCGGACATGCCGGACCGTGAATCTGACACCAAACTGCTCGGACTGAATACAAAGGTTCGTTTGAAATTTGCTCACAAACGGCTTGATCAGCAGAGTGGGACAGAATTAGACCAAGGTAATCAGTATTCTGTGAGTTCAGTCATTTCAGTAAACAGCCGCAGAACAAGAGAAACTAATTGCAACGTGAATAGCAAACCGTATGAGTTCCAGAACGGAACAACAACGGCATTCTTCCTTTAGTACGTCAAAGTGCCACTGACTTTTTAAACATTCCGATACTAGTGAATCATAGAAAACCTCTCGGTTTTACGCGAACCCGCGTGGGGTACAAAACAAACCCGATCCGGTGAAGTGGCTCCAGTTGCGGTTACAAAACGTCACTACCGACAATAATCATCATTTCCAGTTGCCAAATATTAATTTCACGATATACTGACACCCGACTGTAAAAATGTGTTGTCGAAGGAAATGTTTGCACGGCTTTCTTTCAGGGATAAGAACTACTTAGAGAGAAACGTAATGTAAGTTCTCGTTCGTTTTAGAAGCGCAGTTTTACTTGTGAAGACCGAAATCTGTGTGAAGATTTAAGCATTGTCTGGACAATTGAAAACTTAAATCAACCATGGCCGGTACAAGATAACTGTGGATACAGTTTGATTTTGTTTTTAATATCCTCGACTGCTGAGGTACATTAGACTGGTGCTCAAACGGCGCTTTGCATTTATCTATCCTAACGAACGAATGCCTACAGACAGATACGACTGAAAAAAAAGAAAAATGAAAAATTTGGTTCCGCGATGTGAGTCGAGGCCATCAATGGCGTTTGGACGCATATAATCGGACGAATTAGGGCCGTTTCAATAAGTACCAAAGATCAGTTTTACAATTTCAAAACAATGGTTTGGTTGACGGGATCGGGTTCATAGGCCTTTGTGTAATGAAGCGTTTTGTCAGCAATCATTCCAAGTCTCCGTGTGTTCACTGGACCACCAGGTTTGATAACCACATTGATTTTTGAGCTACATTACTACGTGTTTACAATGTGTTTGAGATGGCTGACGGTTTGATGTATGCAGGTATGCGATACTGCTTGAAATACTTCAGGACTTCAGGACAGTGTAGCACTTTTGTCACTTATTTATGCATTGATATTGAAATAGCAATTCAACCAGATCAAACACGAAAGTCAAAGCGACATGATTGCAACGTTCCCATTATTCTAGTGAATATGATAGCTTGCATTTTCGGAGGTTGGACGTAGTCGGATAAAATAGTGTTCTTCCAACCGATAGTATAAAGCCAGAGCTTTACAAGTACCAACCATTTTGTGTTACTTTTCATTAAACAGAACGTTCCAATGTCTAATTTAATCATCTCATCATTTTTATATGTACGAATGTCAGAGGGTTGTTATCTTCTATTTCATGAAACCGACAGTTGTGAAAACCTACTCAAAATAGCCACGGGTTTTCGGAATCAAAATATGATCCACATAGCTTTTGTACATACGTGGAAACTAATGCTCACTGCATTAAAAAACGACAGTGTTTTGGCTGTAACCAATGCAAAAATGGCAGTCTTCTGTTTACCTATTGAGTGCAAAAATCAAGAGTTCCTCTTGATTTTGAGATTGTAATTCATTCCAACTCAAGGCAAATATGAATTGAGTGAATTTTGAACTAAGACTGCGTGCCTAAATCCAGATAAAGCAAAGATCAGGCAAAATGTATATTATAAAAAAGAGCCGTTAACCACTGGAGAGAGTAAATATCTGGTACAGCTCGGACTAGAATCACCAATTAAATTTGTATGTGTGTATATTAATCATCTGACTGTAAACCCTGGTGGGTTGCACTGCTAGCTTTGTATTCTCACTGCACAGCTTAATCCGATCTGCATGCTGAACATACTGATTCTATAATTTATTATTCACGAGGACAACAAATTTAAATACCTGTTTTCCTAACACATGGCATAACTTGAATTTTTCCAGACTTAAAGGTAATGATAATTTGTGATCAGAATGGTTAATGGTCAATTCAGACAAGCACATGACCAGAGTCTGAGTGACAGAAACGGACTTAAATCATCTCAAGTGGGCAATTAACCCAAGCGAATACATCAGGAGTGCTACATGAATCGGAATAGTGGATCAAAAAAACCGTGTACACATTTTGTCGGATCAAAACTTCATTAAAATTGCTTTCATTTGGAATCCCGCAAAGGGGTTGGACCGTGTATACAACATCGCCACTTTCGCAGTAGGTTCTATCCGTTGATACTCAACTTCCAGGTTAGTCGTGTGGATATCATAGCCCAGGGATACCATAAATTTCGGAATCTACTTAGATCGAGCATCTGCATTTGTGTCTCACTAATATTGCACCAAATGCATTGGCTTGAATAAACCGCATTTCACACAGTGCATGGCAGGAAGAATAAGCACGAAAAACAACTATTCATGTCGTTTATCACTCGGGGATCATACACACAATTCATCAATTTATCGCATTGTAAAATTATGCAATTTGATTATAGTAAATTTAAAACAAACGAACTAAACGTCCATACTGATTTTAAAAGCATGTTTAGTTCTCATCGGAGACTCCGGAATGTATCCACGCCAACGTAGCGGCGGTTATATGTGTTCGTTCTCGGGATCCGTAAAAAAACAACATTCCTCGACAAATTCGCATTTTCGTTTTCCTTCAAAACACTACTTATATTGCTTATATATGTCAAATGCTATATTACACTCTCAAGAATTGTTGAGTTACTCAAACAAATTTGCCCCTTATGAAAGAACTTGTATATTAAATGACTATAAGGAAAAAGGTCCCTCTTTCAATAGATGTCTCAAACTTACAATGGA